CCCCTGGGTCCGCCCCTGGACAGCTTCCTGGAATGTCTATTCTTAAAAAAAAAAAACCCATTATTTTTTTTAATATACTTGCACTTTTAGTGATAAAAGTCAAAATTTGAAATAAGATTATGAAGAATATTTACTCTCAAATTTGTGAAATAAGAAAATGAAAGGAATGTCTCCTACCTCGCACACCATGTCCAAGTCATAGAAGGATGGATCACCGCTCGCAACAAAATTAACTTTACAGACGATACTCTGACCTGGTGACAGGGTTCCACTCACTGGCTGAATGTCAATCACCTAGAAAGTACAATAGGTTAAATGTCATAAAGACAAAATTCATGAACATTTTTTTCAGTTTCTAGATAGAATTTAATTTATAATGAAATTTTGCACTGTTTGGCATGCACTTCTATAAGAAATAATTGTAAAACGGGCACTGAAATGCAAGACTAATACATTTATTTATATATTTATTTATTATTTTAACTATATAAAGGGTGACCCTTCCAGAGTTACCTAGATGGTTGGCTGATATTTAAAAGCCCTCTTATATAGTTGAAATGTGATGCTTTATAAACTAAGTCTAAAAAAAAATCTCCAAATATATCGTTATAGTTTTTCCTTGATTTTACTAGAGAATTGCATTGTAGTGTACCAGAGACTGGCTGTGTACTAAGAGTGTAATAAGAATCCCACACAATATTTAAGAAACAAGACTTAAAAATTGAGGCTTAACATCTGACCTGACTGTCGGCATCACTTGTCACATACCACTCAAATGCAACAGTGTGGTCTTGAGATCTGTTTGTCAGATACACCGGCTTACGTGATTGGCTAAAAAGTGCCAAGTTGCCCAAAGAGATACGCTCCTCACTCAGATACAGAAGCTACAGATATAACATAACAGAACATTAAGATTACCTGGAAATTCATGGCAAAGATGAAATAAAAATGTTAGCCTTTAAAAAAAGGCATGTATCTCAACTTCTATAACAACTGAGCTGAGGGGTTTGCGGAGAGATATTTGTTCCTGCTTCTTGTGCTGAAGACCCTGGCTCAAACCCGGCTAGAGTCAGGTTTCATTTAGCTCCTCGAATAACCCTCATATTGAGAGTTAGGAGCATTAAGGACAATGTCGTGAGTATCAGTTATATGATGTAGTCAAAGTCCGGTGGCACTGCACTGCGGTTGCACCCAGCCTAAATTTGTTATTTCTAATTAAAATGATGACAAATAAAGAAGAAATGCTAACAGTTTTTCTACCACCCGGCTGTACTACACCGGCCATATTGCACTGGCTAAATTGCATTGGCCATCTGCACCAGCTAGACTATACTGTTGGTATTGCACCAGCTGCACCTTTGGCATAAATTTGGCCCTCCTGTGTATCTATCATCCCCAGTGAGTTCAGCCCTTTCCGGAAAATATTCTCAAAAGGGGTCAAAAATTTGGCCTTCAAAGCCAACACAGTACATATTCAACGGTGACATCTTGTGATACCGAGTGCATTACTGGGTGCATGTACTGCACTGGCTGTACTGCCTGGTACCATACTACCACCCATACTGTGTACAAATATGTGACCTTGTGAGATGAGAAACATTTTGTAAAGGGCCATCAATCCTTTAAGTCAATTACTGTGACATTCATCAATTTAAAAACAAAAAACAAAAAAAAAAACAGTATAGAAGGGGATAAGTTAACCTTTGCCCCATTATTATCTGTAACAAAAGTCTATCAATGTATTTCCTGCCACTATTCAAACTGCTTAAAAAGGTGAATGTGTACCGTTGGCAAAATTCCATTAACGTCCAATCCATCAAAATACCATTATGTTGGCGTATATTTTTTGTTTTATCAGAAACCATAAACATGCTATAATTTTTAAACAAGGGCTTTATCTTAATTTTTTGTATTATATTTACCACCAAAAAACTGAAATGCTTGGTAAATGTACAGGTAGCTGAAAGACTCAGCATTATATAACACACAAAAACTCAGACTTCAGAGTGTTTGCATATTATAAACAGAGACTTTTGAAATAAAAGGTTTTGCATGTAGTATGCAAAGTTGTTGCTGCGGGTACAGAAACTCCAAATAGGAGTAAATACAAACATAAAATGGGCATGCAGGTAGTTATAAAACAACAATCCACAGGTAGTAACAGTTGATGACATTTTTTCCATCCAAACTCATGAAAAAGTAATGCCCTAATCTGACAAAAAAACTGGGGGAAAACCTCCAAAATCAAATTAAAATTTTGAATAGCTCAATGAAGAGGAAAAATTAAGTTATTGACATCTGACTGGTAGAAGAAAAAAAAAATAGTATTCAATGATTTAGAGACATTTTACTACATAAATCTTTAATTATTTACTAGTGAAGTTAAAGGTTATGCAAAAGTAAAAATGAAAGGTATTATCAAACTGTCCACTATTTAATGGGGACAATTTTTTCTCATTAAAATTCCATAGTTACCAACTTGAAAAATTTGAAATGTGTGAGTGACTACACAAGTTGGCTGGGGGAAGGGGGGGAGGCAGTGCACATGCCGGGTTCCAGGGGAGGAGCCCCGGCGGGGGTCTATGGGTGCTGGAGCTCCAACGATGAGCATTTTTAGGCTGTTTTAAAACGATTTCAGGGAGTGTTTGTTGACAAACGGGAAGGAGAAATTTTCTTGATGAATTTGATTCTTGAGCGAGATAACGAAAGCTCTCTATTGTCTCAAGTTAGCCTACTACATGACCGTTTTTATATTTTCAATAAAACCAATTTCTTCTAAATTTAAATACATTTTCCCCTGAATTCATGATAATTTGTTATCACGCATGTGTTTCTGCAAAATGAGTGTTTCATCCAAAATCACTTTGAAATGCCGGACCGTCCTGCACGATGCGAGATGGTCGGTAACTATGAGATTCTTAAACATGAGTTGATAATCTTTTTTAAGCAGTTCATATGAAATTGAATTTTTCTATTTTTTGGCTCATGACAGACAGTATATCTTTAAATTGCTATAAGTATGTTCAATAGTCAATGAATTATAACAACCACAAGGAGTACAAGTCACATGACTAGTAGATAAGGTATTTTTCTATAAACCAATTCACGGTATTAGGCGCCAAGCAATTGTCTCATAACCCAGTGATGCACACCATACCTGTTTATCTTACCTTTCCTGTCATGAGGTAAGGCAATGGCTTACTGGTTGTTTAGCTTGTTCTTTTCTCTTTTAGCCTCAACCCTAAATGGCTTTTATCTTTCATAAGGTATATCATTCCAAGACCAGTTATGCACGTAACATTTTAAACTTCAAAAACTATGGAATATATACTGTAGCCCACACTGTTTCTTTATGGTAAAAATCCAATGCTGTAGCTAGTAACCAGTGCATTGGCATTTATCAGGTACACACTTGGGTGGACAACATGGATGCTGTAAAACCTCAATTAGAAGCCCTGGGCTTCCTTTTGCAAACTTTTCGAGATGGGCTTCTTTTCAAAATGAATGCTGTAAATTTTGGGAATTATTACTATAAAACAATAAATAGGGCCACGATAACATCAATCTGTATCATAGAATGTATTAACTGGCATTAAATTACCTAACAGGTATAAACTCTGCTTATTTGAAATTCATGTACAATGTACGCACCATACTATCTCGAAAAGACTTCTTTTCGAGGCTACTTTTGCAAACTAAAGAGGAGGCTTCAATTTGAGATAGGCTTCTTCTCGAGATTAAGCCCATTGAGCTTCTATTCAAGGTTTTACGGTATTTCAATGGTGTAACATCTATGAACTTTCAACTGGCTTAAATCCAGGGGAGGGGGAGGGAAAAGGGATATTAATCATCATCATTTATCATTTTTCTCCAAATCGTCCAAGCAGGGCCTTTCGAAGAGCAGAACCAAAAAAAAAATCACAATCCATCCTTAAAATGTCAAACACTAACACAAGGGGTTTTCCACAATACTCAAAGGGTTATCTATCCAGACATAGCTCCCAGGGTAAGAGATTGAAAAAAAAAACCCTTAGCTAGGGGCCCAGGTATCTTTGTTACACCACTTGATATAGTGCCTTGCCCAAGACAAAAAAACTCATCATACTTAAACCTTAAAATATTTTGAATGGGAAAAAGGTGTTTGCAATCAAAGACTTTATAGAGGGCAGCAAACAAAACTTTGTGTTTAGATGGCATTGTACTAGTAGCATGACTGTGAAATATTTTATTTCATCATTTAATGAGTTTTCTTAACACATTCAAATTTTATTATTTTGTCTCACAATTGAGACAATTGATATAGTAAATAAAAAAGTAAAATATGCGCATACTATGGATTTGAGTAAGTTGGGTCATTTTATGGCAATTTGTGCGTGCTTGTAGGAGTGTGGGAGGCCCTTCCGATTTCTGGAAGACTCCCGCGACTTGCGAGAGTCTTGGGATCATAGTAAACAGCCTTTTTTGCCAGCCTAACCCCGGTATTCTTAAAATGAACCTTAGTCATGGTTCGAGCTAAAACTTAAAAATTACGTCATTTCGCATTCTTAAAACGACTAGCACTACGACTAAATCACTTGAACTTTCGACTAAAATTATACCTCCTCAGGCCGATTTTTTTAGTCAGCCTAGGGTCTGGCTAAATCGCTGACTTGAAATATTTTCCCCACTAAAAACGTGCTTTTTGTAACTTACGATAAAGTAAAATGAATAAAAAAGATTTTAAAAATAGGTCTGATGTATCTCCAGTGTGTTCAAGGAAAGGGACATTACGTTCAGCTTCCAAAAGGCGAAATTAACATGTTTTGCTAGCCACATGCAACAGTTCCTGATTTGCACGAAATCCCCTCACGTTGCGGTCAAGAAACTTCAGTGTAACAACAACAAAGATGGCACCGCCCTCGCTCGACCTCAACTATAATAGTTCTCCAAAGAAAGCAAATTTTGAGAGACACTTCAAATTCTCTATCGTTAGATGTTAACAACAATTATAGAATATTAGTTTATAGGCGAATAATGGTCTATTATGAATTATGAGGAAATATGTTTTTGAAAGACAGACTGCAGTATAATATTCATCCGCGTTACCAGATCTCTAAAATTTTGTCTGCTATTAAAATTAGCTCTGTTCATTGGTTAGTTTGATAGTTGTTGCTCGCCAGCCATCTTCAGCTGAACTACAACTAGGACTTGATTTAGTTGTAGTTAGAACTCTGATTACATTGTTTGTGAATACATATTGAAGTTGAAGTTGCGACTAAGACTAATTGAAGTTCTAGTTCAAAGTTCGACTAAAGTTCGTTTTACAGGCGTCAATGTTGGATTTTCAGTTTCTCCCTGTGCATTTCGTTTCTTGAGCAATGCGCTTTATCTACTTTATTTATGTTTATCATTAGTCTACCTATCTGTATCAATCAATGGGTACCAGCAAATTGCTGGGAGTAGCCTGTGATGGATTAGCATTCCACCCAGTGAAATTATCACACTCTCATTCTTCATTCTCACTTAGGGTGAGCTCCAGCCAATGAACGCTAGGCTTCTGATATACTTATTTATTATATATCTCTGGTGACCAGAACTCTTTGCATATGATTGAAGTTGATATCAAACAAATCAAGTTTTCTTAGTTAGTGTGAGTTCAGTGTGGTACAAAATAAGGTGATATGTGGCAATTTTTTGAACTACTTCAGCATGATCTTTTTGGCTTTGAACATTTTTAAAGGGGAGGGGGAACACTGGGGTTACATTTTTTTTTTTTTTTTGGGGGGGGAGCACTCCCTAGATACGTTTCTAGGTGAGTTTTCAGTTTACACACATAAATTCCTATTAAAAGATGGTATCAGTTACTTCCTGATTGTATTTTCAACAAACAACGAAGAAAATTATGGCCATTTATAATGAATTAAAAATGTTCCTTATAAAACTATATAATAATAATATATCAGTAGCAATTTTTGTAGAATAACAATTAATAATAGAAAAAAAATATATCAATAAGCTAGCAGTCACACAGCATTTAAAGTTCATTCACTTCAACAAGTTCACAGTGTATACGAAAGTTTAATGTGTTTTCACATTAGCGTTATAGTGCTGCCTGTTTCCAGTGGTTTCACTTATTTTTCATTTTTGGTTTTGTTTTCTATAATTTAGAAATGTAACATTAAATATTGAATACTTCCAATTGAAACTGGTTTTATTAAGTTCCATAGAAGATGACCGGTTAATGGGAGTTACAAATATCTATTTGCAAGCGCTTCCCTTATCAAATCATTTTCTACTTTTATTTTGCTTATCTTAATTAATTTGTCCTTTTACTTTATAAAGTGCATACAAAATATGACTATCCTACTAGAATATATGAGGCTGAGTAATTAACATAAGAATATGGCAGTATTGTATACTTTAGTACAGAGAAGCTGTAATACTTTTACTCATAACTTTAGCATTAATCAATTCTAGTAATGACCTATCATTTTAAAGCTTTATAATGTGGAGAATTATGAATATAAATTAAAAAGTAAATTTTTTGTTTTGGTCACTGATGTTTTTGGCATGGCAAGCCTCTTATATCAAATTCCACTTTGAACAAGGGATGCTATACTGTGAAATGCCATCTTCAGTTGAAGCATATATAATCATTTTTATTCAACACTACAGTTGAACTTGCCTACAAGGAATCCAAAATGGCATTAAAAAATTGTTCGAATTAAATAAACTTTGACTTAATCGTTAATTCATGGAAAACACAACAATTTTGCATATATATATATATATATATATATATATATACACACACAGTTAAACTTGCCTAAATCGACTTTGCCTAAATCAAATAATTTCTAAATTGATCTTATTTTGCATGCAAAATTGTTGTGTTTTCCATGAATTAACGATTAAGTCAAAGTTTATTTAAGTCGAACAATTTTTTAATGCCATTTTGGATTCCTTGTAGGAATATATATATATATATGTGGTATATATTTAGTGTAAAATATTTGTCTATATAAGTGTAGCCTATTATCTTCTATAATGTACTTTGCAATTAGTAGGTTGAGAAAATATTTCACATCAACAATTGTTGTCAGCTTCAAACACTATACTATTTTTTTTAAAGGATTAAAACAACGATCTATACAGAGAGACAGAGTAAACTTAAAATGCAAAATTCTCACCTGTCTGGGAATAGGAACACCTTGAACTGCTGGAACACCTGATAGTTGTGTCTGGTCTGTGAAGCACATGGTGTCTCCCATTATCCGTTTATCATAGCCGACACCTGTGAACGTTATCAATGCTGTGTCACCGCCAATTATGTGAATAGGTACATCAACCTGAGAAAAAAGATAAACGTTTTACAAAATAATGTTGTAACACCATTCATCATCATTGTCTATGACACCTAACGTCATCTATCAATAACTTATGATATCAATATCATTAGATATACTAACTCATATGTACCTCATTCCATCCATCAATCGGACATAAGAGCAATGACTAACCTTCATAGGATTCTGATGCTTTAGCATATCTAAGTTTTTTTTTCTGAATTTATTTTTATCCTCTAAATTATAAGCTGTTGAATTATACACCCTTTTTTGTTCATTTATTCAATTTTTTAAATTTATTTCATTTATTTATTAAAAAAACACATCAAAATTGCAGCTCAAGTGCACGATATTTACAATAAAAATAGTTAAATATGAAGACATTAATAAGGCATAGAATGATTTCTAACAAATTTTTTATCAAACATTTAGAAAAACATCAAACATTAAAAAGTAAAATTGAATAAAAAAACATTCAAAACATTTAACATTAAAAACCTCACATGAAGCAAAACACAGACAGCTTAAAGGTTTAAAACTTGTTAAAAAACATTAAAAATAAACAAAAAAAAAATTAGAAATTAATTGAAAAATAGCAAATCTTTTAACAAAAAGCGTGGATGAGGAACAATAACATCTTTTCAACAAGAATAATGGGAAAAAAAAGGGAGGGGGGGAGATTCATTATTACAGGTATTATAATTTATTATTATTATTATTATTCATTATTAAAGAAAATTTTAGTAAAAAAGGTATGGCACTATTTTGATATCTAGTGACTTTACACTTGGGCTGTTGAAATATTCTGTGGCTTTTTAAACTCACACCATGAGTGGAAATTATTATGATTACACCAGTCGTCAAAGCGGGTATCTTTAAAGAAATTAGTAGCAAATTAAACACACAACTGATATCAGCGAAAGACCCAATGGTTCTAATTCACACATAGTAAGAGCATCAAAGTAGTTTGTAAAATCTTTATTTTGAATAAATTTACAAGCACTTTTTTGCACTGATTCCATAATTGCATTTTGTTTGGAAGTCAGACTCAAGTGCCATGCAGGCATAGCACACTCTACAGTTGGCTTCACATAACTCTTATATACTGATACTAGGTCTTCTTCATAGATTTCCAAAAATAAAAATTAAAAAAAATATAATGTTGCCTTTAAATTTTATCTCTTAAATCTCTGGATAGGAATTTGAAGGAGAATGATTAACATGATTGTTCTAAAAAAAAATTGCGATAAAAATTTGGTGCTGTTTTAAACACACTAAGGGTGTTGTTTTTTACAAGTAAAATGTAACAAAAACATACACCTAAAAAATAACAAACAAAGATTGCACAAACATGGATGCACTATTATTTAAACTACCAATAGGTAAAACTATAGATAAAAATCAAATTTTACTCTAGCAAAGAAACTCTCCAGGTGGTTGCAGATGAACAATGAGATTTTGAAAATTTTTGTCCATAGCCTATACACCATTTTTACTAAATTTGAAATAAAATTTTCAAAGAACCTAGCGACTACCACTGTGGGGTGGGGGGTCTTCCAGAGGCCTAGGCATTTCCACATGTTTATGTTTTGCATGTTTTCACATGTTTACGTGCGCTGTGGCCGGTGAACAACCTTCTTGTGGAAGCGGTTGGCACATCGGTTTTGAACTCCCAACCTCGAGGTCGGGGGTTCAAAGCTCTTGCTGTGCAAATCGCTCGTGTCTTTGGGCAAGGCACTTTATCTACCACGGTTGTCTCTCTCCACCCTGGAGAAGTGGGTACCTGGTAGGTTCAAACACAACTGCGCTGATTACTAGCTGCAATATTATGGAATTCTCTCCGGGGTGCTGAGTATGTGTTCCATACATGTTTGATCCAATGACCGGAGTAGTAATGTGAAGCGCTTAGAGGTTTTATGCATAAAGCGCTATATAAGACCGACATATTATTAATGTAGTGAGTTAGCCTAGGTCTAGGCTAGTCTCTGAAAACAAAATGCCAAACCAAAAAGCAAGAAAATAAGGGCACAAAAAACTGCAGTGTTTTTTTTTTTTTTGGTTGTCAAACAGAGTTTGCTCAAGCTAGGCTGCTGGAAGTCCCCCAGTGAAAAGTTGCAAGACGATGGCAGCACTTTTCCAAAATAGACTTGATAAAATCGTGTATAGACTGTAAATTAAATTAAAATTAAACTAATCTTACCATGTATGTTTTCGATTCCAGAGGTGAAAAGACCCATTGCACATTAGCTGTCTGTCCAGCTTGTATCACACCACTTGGGTTTAAGCATTCAAATATTTTATGATTATAATTTTCCTGAAAAAAAAACACAAAAAAAAACGACATTGTGTTAGTCTTGGCCAATATTTTTCTCATGAAGTGTCACCTTTATATCAGAAAACTGCGTCAGCTGATGATACCTATGCAGGGACCGCTAAGCTATATATTTTAACTTGTGCATAACAAAAATATCAAAAACAAGAGTGACGCTTTATGATCTACTTTATAGAACATCGCAATCACATTATTCCTCAAATAACAATCCTATTGAGAGTTAGGCTGGATAAGGACTTTATGTATGTGTCCGTTACAGGTTTAATAGTTAAGTTGGATGGCTCTGCACTGCAGCTGCCGCGGGTAATCAGACGCCCAGCACAAGTTTCCGATTTCCAATTTGAATGAGGACAAATAAATAATTGTTACTATTATTATTATCATTACACCCATCTTGTATGGTATGTACGTAAATTTGTTGTTGGATGTTTAACAATATAATAACAATATTAATATACAACAACAATTAACATTACATTAATGATGATGAAAATATGAAATAAAATAAATTTAAATACACAAATACATGCATAAATTTCTGAATGATTTGTTGCAAGATGCATTGCCTTGAATTGAAAGAAAAAATGGAAGTGAATTGATGCGAAAAAATATTACACTAAATATATAAATTATAATAAAATGAAAAGTATACATCAAATCAAATATGTGTGCATACTTGCTCACAAGCTGCACTGGTATAATGAGCAGATTTCATGAGCATGAGCAAACCGAGCAGTTTTCACAAACACTAACAAAGCATACACATACCTCTTTAACATATTCTAAGGCGGTCAGATCAAGCTGATACGTAACTTCAACAGCGCCCCCATTGTACAGCTCATACACCTGTGTGGGGTTATTGACTCCACCAACAGGTACTGGCGAGAACATGTGCTTGCTGCTTGGGAAATGTACGTAGTTCTTATCATGGTCAACAGTAACACCAATAAAATTCAACTGCAGAGACAATGATAACTGGGAAAATAATATACATTTAAAAGACATTAAATAATTAATTGTAGTACACTGAATTGCTAGAAACTTGTAGATAAATTTGTAAAGAATAATGTAACAGCTGTTATTTTCATTTCGTGATATAAATTTTTACTTCTTTAACACATATACAATCATAAATACAAAATATTTTTACACTATCAGCTGAACAGAGACAATCTTAGACCTTTAGTATATTTATTTATTTTACTTTATTTCAACTAACACCCAACAGCAAAATTGACAATCATGGAATGCCTTCAAATAACAGTGATCGGTATCAAAATATATATAATATTCAAATTCAATTCAATCATTATTTGTCATTCCTGAAGTCGATTCAATAAATGTTGAAACGACGAATCATTGCCTTTCTTTATTTATTCAGAGTAACGTTCGTTCTATGTTATTTAAACATAGTCAGTGCATCTGTTGATTATTGGTCCAATATATTAAAAAAAATACATCAGAAAATCTTTGTTTAGGTAACTGCAATATATAAAAGGTACAAAATTCAATATATAACAAAACAACATAACAAACAAAAAAGTTTTTAAAAAGCACAAGATAACAAAAGTAAAACATTCAAATTAAAAAAAAAAATCAATTTATACAAGCTTCTTCTTAATAAAACTCAGAATTGAAAATTTGATGAAATATCTTTAAAAAATTCACAATGAATCGCTAAACAAACTTTCTATTTAGAAGTTGCTTATTGTGATGGGTTCGTATTCAAATATCCTGAGAAACCAGCACTTTTTATGTGAACTTTATCGTATCTAAGTTAAATTTGCATGTGTCAAGCAAAAATTGTTGTCACAACATCGATAAACTTACCAAAATTTCTCTTCCCCTCATGACTTTAAAGAGAACTGGTAAGCGGTCAGTGCCTGCAAAGTCATGATTATACGTCAGAGTAATAGTGTCACTTTGACCTGGATCAAGATGACCTTTCCTGGGCTGGATATCGAACAGTTTGTTGTCCATTATTCTCATCTGACAATAAAGAAATTAGAAGTCTAGATAAGTTAGTCTAGATAATTTTCTAATTACTGCCGTCATTCCTTTAACACACACCCCTAAAAAATTATGGAACCACCATGCCATGGCACCATATTACCATTTAACAAGAGACACATCCTCATTCCTCATTCAATAGTATACTGTACTGTTCTGGATAAACTGTATACTGGCATTGCTAATTCGAACAGCCCTAAAAAATAATAGAACTGACCATGCCAGGTACTTATTAATGCTAACCACATTTTGCATCTCTTTCCTTATTCAATGGAAATAATCGGTGTTAATGAAAACAAATCTGTACTAAAGTTAGACTATGAGTGATACTTGAGAGAAATGTGGCACATATCACATAATATAGTATGGTAATGGTAATGGTCTATTTAAGGCCTGTCTAATTATATGGTACTCAATTTTTTAAAAAACATAATGTGATATTGTTACCTCATGCAGCTCATCTGCATCAAATTCACCTGTCTCTGCCCAATATTCTAACTCAAGTTGAAGGTCACTTGGAAATAATAAAGCCCTACCAACAAATATTTTATAAAAAGTCATTAAATATTTTAAGATATCATAAAGTGTTATCATAACATGTTACGAGAAAAATAACAATAATAAGTAGTAAGAAGATAAACAAGACTTGCAATGTCTGTTTGTAAAATAGAACGTATGGTTTTTTTCCTCATATAAATAAAATAAAAAAATGAACGAAAACAATCATTTTTTGCTGCCACATGAAAATCCATCAAAAACAATGAATTGCAGTTTTGTAAAAGCATAGTAGCAATTTAATAGTGGTTGATATGGTTATTATGATAATGATGATGATAATGATGATGATAATGATGATTGTACTGATGATGATGAAAACAGTGAATTATATGATGATAATTAATGACATCAGATTTATTACAACATCAACTTTTCCTGTTCCAAATATTATAATTTATTCACTTTACACCTACAATCTTTTTTTTCATTCATTCTAGTTTATTATTAAAAACAACAAAAATTGACATTGCAGTATGAACTGAATTGCGTCAATCTAACAAAATTAAGCAAAAACAAACAACATTCACAAAACTAAGCACAACAACAGTATATAAACATGCAAAAAGTATTCAATATAAAAATTTCAAAGATAAAAATTGCAACTATCACAAAGACCACATGCTCATGAGCAATGAAAAATTCAAGACAAACAAAATTACGATAAAATTTGTTCCTAAAAAGATCATTAAGAAAAAACATTAAAATTACAATTAATATTTTAAAATTTAAAAATTTACAAAATTGAGATAACATTTGATTAATACAAGAATAGAGGAAGGAATGTTAATTTGATTTAATAATCTGATAATTATATTTTCAATAACAAAAAACAGATATTCACCAGTCTGTTGGCACTGTGCCAGTATTCTCGATCATTAGATGGATAAGGCAAGGTTCAGCCCCTAGAGGAGCAGCTCCAAAGTTGAAATCTAATATTGATCTTGTTTGGACTGGTATCTTCCTCCTTGTGCTATGCCTTGTGATACGTGAGTACATCAACTCTTCCGCGCTTGGATCAGAGTCAAGACAAACATTCAAACTAGAAAATAAAGTTTAAAAGTTTCATAAAAATATTTATTTTTTTCACCAAGGCTTAAGTTACATTTTGCCTATGGCCAGGCTATTGTACTCTAGTGTGTTGCGTCTAACACCGGTGGTGTACCTAAAGGTATTGCAATGGGGGAGGGGCTGATGAGGGGGGTGGGGAGGGAAGCTGTGTATTTTTATACGGGTAGATGACAAAGAGACAAATCTTTAAACATATTAACATGCACCAATGCTTGATACGTACTTATCCAAAGAGAGCAAACTCCAGAGCCGTGCTTTGCTGACTCCGCATGCGCTCCCGTAACACCTCGCATCCGTGACCGCTAAGCTTGGGTAGACTCCAGTGGTTGTAAGCTCACACAACTGCTTCTCCGGCTCAATAGGGATCGCATTTTCAATTCTCTCTGGCATCAGTATTTGATAGTTCACTCGGAATGTGTAGTTCACACGTCTTACAGGTCTCACGGTGACAAATATTTTACGCTCTGATCTGGCGGGTAAGATGTCCTTGCTAATACTAAGTTCCACAGCTAAAAATAGAAACATGGAATTAAATTTGTTTAAAGGACATGGAATGAATAGATAGTTCTTTTTGTATTCTTAATCCAACTAAACTTGTACTATATTATTCAATAGACACTTTACGCAACAGGACGGAAAGACAGGTTGATGGTGGTTTTGTGCTCGTCAGAGCGTGAAGACCACATTAAACAATATACGGTGCTTAACCCGAATTGTCGTTGTCGACAGCTCCCTGTCCTCTTGCGTAAAGCGCTTATTATATTCAGGGGCGATTTCAAGGGGAGGGGGGATGCACTAGGTGGCTTTCCCCCACCTAACCAAGTTTTTGAAATACTGTATGCTTTCAAAAAATTGCCATAGCCACAAAATATTTTTCCTCAGCTTCCACATCATGGAGACCCATTTGGACCCCTCTATTTTGAATTCCTGGATCTGCCACTGATATTTATTATCATTATCAATATTATAATGCAAAATAATAATATTAGAACTTAATTGTACTTTTATAATTATGATAATAATAGTAATAATTTTGCTTTTTTGGGTTCTTGTGTTATTGTTGATCACATTCTAGTTTCTAAAAAAATGTTTAGATTGTACTTATTACATAGCTGAAAGTGTACATGCTTCTATCGGAGTATGCTATTATGATAGGGTATATCAAGCACAGGTAATTCTGTGTTGTTTTTAAATTGAAAGGAGATGCACAACCGGGAACCCTTCTAGTCTATCTTTTCTCTTTTGTGTTAGGCATAAAAGAAATAGCTGTGATAAGCACACTATGGGTGGGAAATGACATTCATACTCCATGGAGTATCAGACAATATCACTGATACTTCATTAGCAATATAACGCACCAGGTTGATCATTAAGCATGGTATCATTACAGTTAGGACCATCAAGGCATTGTTCAACTGTCAACTTGTAGTGTAGACTGCAATCACTCATGTTGACGAGAGTCATGTCTGTAGTAACAGCTGTGCCAACGACCACATCAGACAAATCTATATGTTCCTTCCCAGCCTAAAGTTAAAAAATTATATAGAAATATTATAGAAAGTTCAAAGGCTATGTGTGAGAAATACTGAACCAGATATTGCATATCTTGTTTAAAGGAGAAAAAACATTGTGGAAAATGAGGAGTAAATCTTAAGTAAGAAAGGTTGACAATTAACCCAGAGTGATTTCCACAAGGATAATCAACCCAAGATCACCACCAAGATTACCCCAGCTAAATTACACTCTAAAACAATTAGTACCTTGTTAAATTAATATCCTATTTTTATTTTATCAATTTTTGCAAAAAAAAAATACAACAGACATCTATGTATTGGTATGCCATGGAGTGCTGGCATGACTACCGTACCGTCACCACACTGAAGCATGCCATTCCAATACCCTAAGCCAATTTCTGCAAGAAAATTTGCTTTGCAATCTATTGAGAAGTCCCCTGGATGATTCATGAATAGTTTTAATTATCTCTAGACATATACCTCCCCACTCAAAAACCATTTTCTTCTAGCATCTTCACCTAGGATTATTGCTCTAGGACAGTTATTACTTACGACAATTCCATTCTGGACATGATTATTCCACGTGACTATACTTAACTCTCTGAAATAAGATTGGAGTGCAAATATATAATTTAACGACAAAAAAAAGCAGATCTTAGAGATTACCTTAATCTCACCAACTGAGCCTTCCCCTATCACTCGTAAAGAAAACTTCTTCCTTTTTTTCAAATCTCTATAGATAACAAGATAAACAAATTAACAGTCAATAGCTATAATAATGGTAAATTTATTAAAAATATTAATATAATTAATAATCATTATACAAAAGTTGAGTCTGGGATTGTGCTCAGACACAAAATATGTAATATACATGATTTAAATGAATGTCTTACCCAATGTGTCTGGTGTCTGTAACATACATATAAGGCTTCAGCACATGTCTATTGTTTTCTTTTGGGGTAAACTTCCATTCTTGAGTCTATGTAAATGAAAAATAAATAAAATAATAAAAACCCTTTAAACGTTATCTTCATTGATGTCATCATTGTCATCATCGTAATCATAATCACCACCACCATTACCCTCAGCACCATCATCTGCATCAACAATATTATCATCTTTATCATAATTGGTACTGCCATCATGATACTCATCATTACAAGCACCATCACCAACATCATCTCCCCAATCACTATACCAACTGCCGGGAAAAACTCTTTCTTACAAGTGTAGAAAGATTAATTGTCTAAATTAATTAAACAAAACAATTGGAAACTTATAGTGAGCAAGTGCTTATACCTGTGTTTCGTTTGGCATAATGACTCCTTTGGTTGGCTGTACTGACAAATACTTCTTGTCACTAGAAGGAATAATCCATTCAAATTGAAGGGGTACTCTGGAAGTATTCTTCACTCTATAAACCCTTGTTGAGGATGTTCCAATACACGTTGGTTTAAAAAAGAGCGTGCCCTGAAATAGATAACAAACTTCTGTAAGTATTAAACCTGTTTAGTATCTGCAGAGAAAACCTTTGATAATGGATCTTTCCATAGTGTCAAACTTAACAAGTGACCATCAGTACAGGGCCAAGAATACGCACGTCTCACAAACTAACGTGTTGTCCCAAATAAGCATGTTTTTCACACTGTCGTTTTGAGCAACAATATCCAAGGAGGCAGACCTTAGCACAAAGGTTCTTTATTCCATATCTCTGTGTCTATGGAAGTAAAAAGTTTAATACAATAACATCTCCCAATTACAAACACTCGATTTTAAGAACCCAATTTGAGGCAATGATGTCATTAGGAACGGTTGTTTTTAACTACAAAAACACTTAAAAGTGTAGTTAAGTCTTCAAAAATAATATAAAATGTTACATCAGCTAAGAAAGAAAACACTTAAGCCAACAAAGTGACATAAAACTAAGTTTAAAGCAAGCAATATCAATCGTTTTCAGCCGAGATATTTTACATTTGAGCTGTAGATGTTTGTTCAGACATTGTACAAATCTCACTTTTTGTTCACTGGGGGCGCTAGTCGCATGGACTACTGTGTTTTTACCATTATTTGGTCATGTTCCTATTCGGAAATCACTTCAAATGAATACATCACAGTAAGCACAGGTAATTTTGTCTTCTGTAAAGTATTATTTTGTTGTTTAAAACAGTCAAATCCAAGTAAATTTTCGTGACAAAATTTTGCTCCCACAACAAGGCTTAGGCCTGCCTAGCCCTGTACTTTGAAGCATAGGCCTAGGCCTACCCTAAGATGCTATAAAATTTCAAACTCTCTGAATTACGAACTTGGTTCGGACGGAGGGGTAAGTAATTGGGAGATGTTACTGTAACAGATTCTTTAATTTTTAAATGAGGTATTTAATGTTTTAATTGAATATTAATGAATTTTTCTCATTTCATCATAGACATTACATCCTTAAGTCTTACCTTGTTTTCCAGTAGTATTTCTGGTGTCTCTGACGACCCACAAGCTAACAACTGCTTTGTGTACTTTGGATCATCGTTGATGTAGCAATTGAAGCCATGTTTTAACACATTTGCCTGTTTAGGGTTCATTTGAAACACAAACAGCTGATGTTTCCCACGCAACAAACCATTACATGGCTTCACAAGGAACGACCTATGGACGATATAAAAGATCAAATTTGTTAATACTAGCCAAGTACGCAAAATTTGGCCGCATCTGTGTCTAGCCATGGTTTACTCCTAATGTAGAAGCGGTTGGCACATCAGTTGTGGCTTGGACTCCCATCCTTGAGGTCAGGGGTTCGAAACTCTCGCTGTGCAAGTTGCTTGTGTCCTTCGCAAGGCACTTTATCTACGGTTGTCTCTCCCCATCCAGGAGTGGGTACCCGGTAGGTTCAAACACAACCATGCGCTGATTACAGCTGCACCATTATGGAATTCTCCCATGGGGCCCGAGTGTGTGTTCCATATGTGCTTGATCCAGTGACCGGGGGGTGATAATGCTAAGCGCATAGAGGTCTCTACAATATGTGCTATATAAGTCAACAATTATTATTATTATTATTATTGCAAACACAAATTCTTCTGGCACTGGGTTTCATGAGGCACTGGGTTTCATGTCATGTCATTCAAACAATCATTAGCATAGCATTTCAGTTTTACTTTAAGATGGTTAAATATCATAAAAAATTGATTTCTTGTAAAAAAAGAGTAATGTAAGTGAGGAACCACTATTAAACTTACCCGGATGGATCACTGTCAAATTTATAGCGAATCGGCGTTGTTCCTGTGTTTGTCATAAGAACAGTTTTATAGACACAATCATTAATGTCGACAGCTGGAAAAACCTACAACCAGAAAAGTTTAGAAATGAAGGCAGTAATTTAATATGTTTTTTAATAGTGGAACCGTAGCTCTGAGGTTAATATTCATGTCTCAGTGTCTTGGTTCGAATCTTGTAAACACAATTTTTTTAAATTATTGTTAAATAATTATACATTTTACCCTGCTGTTCATTTTAGATTTTACTGACTTAATACTTTTATCTTGATGTTTTTGTGCTTTATATGAAAAATTTCAATTATTATTCGTTTTGTAATTACTGGATGGGAGTGTTCTCTGACATTATGTTTTCGTAATTAAGTTTACTTAGAGACAAGGCCCTACCATCCAGCTGTCTTGATTGCCAATAAAAAATTGGTGGCATTTATATTCCAATTCTGGATGCATTGCTAAGTTTTGTAAAGTTATAGGTAACTTTATTGCAAATTATCAAACAAGATACAGTTAAAAAGCATGAAGGCTAGAACGACTTTATTTACAAACACAATTAAAAATTACTATAAAAAATATTAATAATAATAATAATAATTAAATATTTTCTGTGTGACCACTTTACCAATTCTTTCTTGTCAAACGTAAGCCTTGGTAGAAACGTCTGTTGTCCTTGTTGGAATGTCTGTCCAACTGCATTCACAGTCAGGCACCATGGTGGACAGAACGTTTCATCTTGCACTAAACGATAATCACGCATACTCTGCAATTAAAAATAACAATGACAGTTTAAGGTTGGAATATTAAAGTGATCATACAGTACAGTATGTTAAATTTTATGGTATTTAATTTTTTCAATAGATTTAAAAGGCTGGAAACTATGAATATATATCATCAGGCTATTGATTTAATGGACCTTTCTGGTATTAGCCACGCCCCTTGGATACTGTTGCTAAGGCCCCACAAAATATCTGTGTAAACACATACGCAAACATGTGCGTTTGTGGGACAACATATGTATTTGTGAGACATGCTTTGATTGGCCAGTTGTTAAGTTTGATTGACACTCCAAAAAGGTTAATTCAATGGTTGCTCGCATTGTGTATCAGCTGGGGGAGGCACACGCCATTTTTTCCCCGAAGATACACTTCTACTGGGTATATTTTTGCCCTGATGTTCACTAAAGAACACTTGGAAAAATAGGTGACATCCGTGTCTTTTAATGTAATGGCCAATTAGCCACAAACCTTGTAGACAGGCTTGCGTAGCTCTGTGAATCTATAAATGTAATTAATAATAAACACATTATTATTGTTAAAAGAATCTGTGAGTGTATACATTACCTTATAAAAGGCATATCCTTCTAACTCTGCCCCAAAGAACTGGTTAGGAGCATTCTACAAATAAAAAAAGCACAAAACATAAACACACATGATATTGTTCTAAGAGGTTTATTAGGAAGTACAGAGTAGTTGTTAGTCACAAGAAGACTAAAATTGTAGAAGGAAGTACAAATATAATAACTAACAACATATAAATAATTAGAATTAAAGTAAGAAATAATTTTAATATATTAAGTGCTCCTGTATATAATATTCTGATGTGTTGTAGTCACAAATCATAGCAAATGCCTCTGTTGTTCTCAACAACATACGTTGTATTATTCAATCTGATTTTCACGTTTCAACTGAAATTATCATTCGGAGCATTGCATTAATATATTGTTGTTTTTAGAGCATTTTAATGCTAATCAACAATAGGTTAATAAATAAAATGATTCATTAGTTAATCAAATCATGTCAAATATAATTATATTTTCCATAAAATTGCATTACGAATACAGATACACAATATTTTATGTACTGTATTATGTGAAGACAAGCAAGGAGTTTCTCTTAGTGGAATAAGAAAGCTACTGTAAGTTATCTTAATTCTGCAAGTTCAACTCACACCACTATCATAATACATAACTACTTCTTCAACTCTTCCATTTCTCTTTCAGTATGTTTGCCATATCATATCACTTACTGGTTTGAAAGTCACCCTAAAAGAAGTCATCTTCAGTGGTGGTATATCACAGGTTATAGGAGAAACCGAGAAGTTGTTATCGGGACTACCCATCCACACAACCGTCACTTTGCCTTTGGTGTTGTTCGTCACATTCAGAGTTTTAAATCCAATGTGTGTCAAGTCGGTACAACAACCAAAGTCTACCTGGTTAGTGTCCATACTGACATGCAGTGGTGAGACCTGTAAGAAAAATTTCAGTCGCTTTAATTGGGGTCAAATTAAAATTTTATTGTCATTCTCATCTAGGTGTCAATCTAAAACCTTATACACACAAGACAAAATGTAACACAAGATGCATGCATAAGGGCAAATAGAAAAAGTTATTAGATTATCACTCCCCCCTCCCCAACCCCCGCATCAAAAATTCGGGAAATATTGATGCAGGAATAAAAAAAATATATATTTTTGCCGCATCAATTATTTCAACAGCATAAAAATAACAATGTAATTTTGTGACTTCAAATACATTTTCTTTAAAAAACTATAAAATTAAACCAGTTTTATACAATATTTACTATTACAGACCAAATATAAACAGTCCCTCCCTCATTGATAAAAACAAAAGCGAAATAATCTATTGTTCCGATTGAAAAAAAAACAAAAAAAACCGCACTCCCTCGTCAATTTTTTTTTAAAAAGAGTAATAATCTAATAATTTTTTTCTATGTGCCTTAATGTTACACAGACTCAGTGGCGTATTTAATTATTTTCTATAAAATATTCTATTTTTTGTACTTTAACTATTTTGTAATATCCAAATTTGTTGATTAATAATGATTTTGTTTTATTATAAAGTTTTTTTGTTTAAGACTATAATATATATATTTTGATATCTTTTGCGAGTCGATCGGCTGAGTGGTAAGGCAGGGGCGCCGCTAGCTACAGCCTTAACATCGGAGCTGATTTCAGCCACTCTTCGCCCATGGTTCGGTTAGTAGAACCAACTCTTCTCAGATATGGGCTTAATTGGATATTATGCAAGACACATGCAAATTTTACATTCACACAGACATGTAGTACCATAAATGCTCAAAAAAGGTCCACTCTCCAATAAGCGCTTAATCAAGAATACTGTACATATTACCCTGTTTGTAATGAAACACTTTGAGAAACAGGGTTTGAAATACAATGTATACAGTGTTAAAATGGGGAACACAATGAAGACACAAGCATTCTTTATAAATGTTCATTTACGACGATGTAGGACCTATGACAGACCTACTGAAATACAGGAATACACAAGATAGGTAACATGGGAACGGGCATGGAAAGCACCACGGCAATATTATTATAAGCACCGCTCTCGAATAAGCGCTGCTCTCAAATAAGCACCGCATTGAACCCTCCACAAACTTTGTAAGCGCCGCTGCATATACGGTATGGGATGATGGCTAAGTTTTCAGCATGCATTCTATGTAAAATTTTGTCTTGTTGGAATTGGGTACAACAAGTGTTTTCTATCTTCTCATTTGTTTATTATTATTATTGTTCATTCCTTGAATTTGCAAAATAAAGTGATTTAAATTTTTTTTAAATATTATATCATATATTATCTTTACTTATTTGTTTTACTGAGTTCAAAAATAAATCTAATCCAGTGTCTTACTCATTGTCCTACCTTATTTTGTATACAATATCCATCATTTATGAACTCTGCCATAGGTGATTGAAGTGGATGTGGCTTGAGGTAGCTTTCGATGGACTCTGCTTGCGGCATCATTAGGTAACCATCGTCATCCAACTTTAGCTTACCATCTTTAAGCAACTCATTCAAATGCTTTAAAATAAGAGCAACAACTACAATATTTACTACTAAAATTGAACAAAAAAGCAATCTTGTAGTTTCATGTTTACTAAGTGTACGATGAAAGTCAATGCATATAAACAATTATATGGTATATTTCAGTGAGTGCATTCTATAAAGCATTTTTAAAAGTTGTTTATCTTATGGTATACTATTACTAGCTCAATATACAACAACAATTTGTGGCTTCCCATGCAAAACCAGCATCAGTGAAAAAACATGAAAATTGACTTTTTAATATATTCATAATTATTCTCTGCTTCATAAGCTTTAAATGATGGGTCATTTACTGGAATCGGATTATAGAAAACACCTAAAGATGATAAAATATTGATAAAAAAAAAGTATTATCCTTCGAGATTCAAAGAGATCGAGATCCTGCTACCCTCAAATATTACTTAAATAACAAAAAATGCAAATTGTTAGGAAAAGCTATAAATACGCACCTCAGGTGGGAACATGGAGAAACCTCTGGTCTGATGAACTCTGTAGTGATCAAGGTGTTTTGGCTCCAGCACTGATGGCTTGCCAAGTTCAGTATGGCAGGTGCCAATCAAATCAACAAACAGCGGGTTCTGAAATGGAGCAACATCCATTATTTCACAGGTGTTTTAATATTGCCATAACCGTTCTTATTCCAGTACTTATTATCATACTAACAACATAATCATCATCAATATCATTATGCTCACCATGGTGACATTCATCTTCATTTTCATCTTCAACATCATCATCCTCATTTATCACTACCACACAATTTCTATTATACTTATTTTATTTCACATCACTCAATCAGCAGACAAGACAAGTATTTAAAAATGATAACAATATATTAATGCTGTAATTCATACATTACTGGTACCATAGGTTTACATAATCATTTTTTTTTTCTTACCTGATTCTGTACAATGCATGCGACTCTTCTGTAATAGTTGATTGGATGCAAAGGAGCGAACTGGACAACAACTGTTGTAGTGGTGTTAGCATCCATTGTGCCACATTCCACACTGAATTTAAACACGCTTTCTTCACCATCAATCATGAACTAAAAACAAATGAATAGGTAAAAATAATGAAGGTGATTCATATACTCTATTCATGCTTCTATTATCATCTTTACAGAATGTTTTTTAAAGTGCAACTAATATCAGCCGTGATATGCTCTGCAGATAAAAGTTGCAGAAGACAGTTGCTTAAACATACAAAATTGTATTGTACGGTGTATTCTACCCGAGTATAAAAATTAAGACTGGCCCTGCCAAAAACCCTCTGTTTGTCGCACTTTCTAGTTTCCCACAGGCACCCAAAACGGAATTTTGAACATTTTCATGTTTTTGCATTATATGAAAGAAGCTATAATGAAGAACATTCCTGCAAGATATCAATCACTAAATCTAACTGAAAAGTATATCAAAATTATTTTTAATATACAAATCTTATTAATAAACTATTAATTTTGGAATCTTTGGAAGCTGTTTTCCCAAAACCTGCTTGGCTGATATCCAATGAGATAAATATTCATAACGTTGCTAATACTCAACCAATATCCACCAAATATACACTTTTTTAAAGAAGACTACTTGCAAGACCCAAAAACACCAAAAACTCAATTATGAATTTTTCCTACAAACAGAGAGTTCTGCCAGAGCCGGTCACAATTGTTCTTTATTCTGCTATTTGCTGTCAAAGCCTCAGCATGTAACCTTATATAGTGCTCACGCAAAATCATCATCTGTTAAAATAATGTGCAAAAAATGTAATTGTATGATAGGTGGCGCTTACCTGAAAAGCTGTTGGCACATCGGATGTATTCACAATGTCTAGAGTCCTTGTGCTTACTGTGCCTGCATCAACTCTGCTGAAGTTCACAATGTTTGTATTTAAACTTACTTCTGGTCCTGCAAGTGTAAATCAATGAGAATTTACATTCTGGCACATTTTTCATAGGATTGTGATGAATATGGAAACAAGGAAAGACTGAACAGTTGTAGAAAAGACAAGAAATACGTCCAGGCCAATTCATTGCTATTAAGTGAGGCTTAATTTTTAGTAAAACAAAAAAAATTATTAACATAAACACAGGTTTGAGTACTGTATAAATATTACCGATATTTAGTGTTTTGTGTACGTTCTGGATCCTTGCTCTTATCCAGGGATGATTGTACCCTCTTGCTGAGATTGTCTTGGTTTGTCTTATTTTATTTTTCCTTTTCAAATTTTGTATGTTTTTTGGTCAGTTGAATTAACTTTGTGTTTTCCCACCAAAAGTTATTAATGCACCACTATATAAGCAGACTACATTATGCTGGATATCTGCCACAATACAAATTCTATTGATTGATTGGTTGATTGATTTACAAACCTTTGCATTTACCAATCAGCTTAACCACTGTCTTTGTCACATTGCCAATAGCTTGTACATGTACATAATCCACACACTGAGAACTGACTGAGTGAGGCAAGTAAGATATCTGCAACAATAATAATAATGTTTTAAATTTATGTAGCACATTATTTAATAAGGGCTACAAATGCTTTGCAACATTATTAACCATGTGACTAAATCCATATACTGGCAAACTGCACAAAGCGCAACTTTCTCTGCTACATGGGGATTATAATTACTACCTTGTCAATGCTACAAAATAGTGCCGAGATTGATACACCTAATGCAGCAACATCCTACCAGGCACCTATTTATACTTCTAAGTGGCAGACAAACAGGCAAAAGATACAAGCAAAATGCATGGTTCATGGTATGTTACCTAAGTAATGGTAAATACCAATATTACTAAGTAAATGAATACATATGCCAGGATTATGTAACCCAAAATTGTTCAGGATTCCCTTATCTATAGATCTTCATGCTAGAGTCTTGCTCAACTGATCCATTTTGATACTCTTTAATCTCAGTTACACTTCTACAGATCTCCCTCCAATTAAACACTATTTTTGGTTTGCATAATTATTATTATGAAGATAATAAAAGATAGAAATCATCTGGGGATGCAGAAAGGTGGTCCATAATTGGAGGTGGTCCTTAACACTCTGCCCACCAAACATGGAGATCTCCATGTCTGGTAAAACAACGCTTGACCGCCAAACACAGAGATCTCCGTGTTTCAGGTTTTTTTACGGAATCTGATAGATGGGTTTATTACCGACATGTACTAACAATTAGATCACTATATTCAGTCTGGACCGTAAGTATTTCACTATTTGTTTGTTTACATTAGCGTAGAGCGGTATTGATTTACTTTCACGAAATCGCAATTATATCAGCTTTGTTGTGCGAAATTGCCTAAATCTTCAAAAGAGAGTCATTTTCATTTCACTGTTACGGTTCACAGATTGTAATTAGATTAAAGTGTTTGGTACCACTGTAAAGCTAAATGTTTGCAGTTCTTGTAGTATTCACTACATATCAATCCGATCACAAGCGCACTCTCAACGAGCTTCGGAAAAGTGCTAAAATTTGCTAAAAAGTCTGGCGGTGGCTGATACTATTTGTTCAAACCCCTGGTAGTCAGATTGTTAATAGGAGGGGTCTTTAGTTATAGAGAGACCTGTATTTAAAAAAAAAATCTGTCTGTATATAAATTGTTTGTAATAAACAATAACTATATTATTTTCAATAACTTACTGGTATTTTAGTGATACCCATTGCTGGCACAACACCATGCGTCTCTTTGCACATGAACACTGTATCCATTCGTGAGCCAGCTGTCGGATGGCTTACAGTGAACGGCGCCTTCACCTGCAACAAAAATGACAATAGGCTTGTTCCTAAAATACTGTATGATGTCATCTTAAATATCACTATCAATATATTAAATTCTTTTTGCACTACTGTATAGAGATCAATACAAATCCATCAAAAGAGATCATATAAAATTGCTACACTGTAACTATAGTGTTTTCTTTGCAATCGTTACATTGTGTACTGATATCCCCGACAATTGACTAAACGATCAGCATTTTTGAAAGCTCCAGAGTTTGTGTGCAGCAATTTTATAAAAAACAGGCATGAGAATCTGATTTGGCATACAATTGAAAAAAAAAAAGTATACAGGTAGTATACTAGAGTTCCATTATTAAGAAATGAGACATCATAATGTTGAATTGGGAATACAGATTTACAAGACATAATATGAACATGACTGTGGCCATTTTTGGATATATTGCCTACGAATAACCTTGGAAAACCACAACAAATTCCCATACTAAATTGGCCATTTCTCTTTCATTTCTCTTGAAAGATTTTTGTAAACAAACAAATAAATTATATTAATTATAATTCTGATAAATAGGCACCCTTAGGGGAGAAGTTACTGTATGGGCTAGTGCATGCTTAGAGGGTTTCAGACTCTGGTGTAAAGCATATAGATTTAAGTGCATTACATTTCATTGGTGAGGGCAGTATAGTCTGGTTAGGGTGTTTCACAATGACGAGGGCAGTATACTCTGTCGACTTTATACACTCACCGGCGATAGGTTGTGAAGTTCTATCATCTTCTCCCGTGTCTTTCCAATAGCTACATCTCCAAAATCGACGATGTTCTCCATGCCTGGGTTGTTAATCGCATTTGGCTTTTCACCCGCACTACATACCAACAAATGTGGGTATTTACCTGTTGGGAATGACAGGGAATAGAGAAATATGATTCAAGTGTTTTTCAAGTTTATACAATACAATTTCAGTTGGAAAAAGTACACTGAATTTCATCAAATTAACAATGCTAACAAAATTATAAAAGTTAAAAAAACTGCATGAGAACGCAAGGCATCAAGGGACATAAGACTGATCATTTTCAGTGATGCTCCACGCACACTGCCACCATCAATCAGCAAACAGTGTCCTATGATCAAGTGTTTATGCAACAGATATAGACTTTTTAAATAAAAATTAATCAATAAAACCAACCAATGCCCTCTAGTTTAAGTTGTTTGCAACACTGAAGTTCACTTCCATAGTGTAATTCAGCTACAGTCTCATGAACATAGGCAGATGTGGGTTTGAACGTTGCAACTAGCTGGCACTTGGACTTTGGTTGAAGAGAGCCCTCTGGAGGCTGGATGACAAATGGTTCACTTACAGCCCACACAAACTTTGTTGGAAGCTCACTGAAGAAAAGAAAAGCGAACCTTGAAATTAATTCACAATATCTAAATAGATTTTGGATTCTACTGAACATCTAATGTTTTAACAATGGAGCGCTCGAAGCGTATTAAAAACGCATGATCACACTACAAAGAAGCTTGATCATGTAACAAAGGCATAAAAAAAATACGCTTATGGACCATAAAAGCTATATTAATTTACAATTATCATACAATGTGATAGTAAAATCATTTTATTCAAATTATTATTTCCTTTATATAATTATTTTTTTATATCGTCTAGTATAAACCCTGTAAGATCGAGTAAATCCGGTATGGAGGAATAATGGGATGAGTCATAAGCTAAAGATAAGAATAAATATAAGACCTGTCCTAGAAAGATCACTACAGTAAACAACACCACACATTTCTTGATAACCGAATGCCCATGCATGTGGATACTTTATTACTAAACATAATACCTGTATAGTGAGGTAGTCTTTCGAAGTTGCGTAGTAACAGAGTGTGAGTAAAAGTTTTTGGAAGAAGGAGAAAGCTATGATGTGTGTGGTTGAATCATGGTAGATAAAAAAACAATCATCAATTGTGGGGGGGGGGGGGGGGGGGAAGGGAAACACAAATGTACAGTATTATTTATGTAATAAAATAATATTTAATTTGTATACAATGAATTTTTATCACTGAGAGAACAGATAATGATGTCAAAATATTGTATATACATGGAGGCTTCATGATCAAAAGTTCTTGCCAGGATTTGGTATGTTGGTCCCTGGCGTGGCTGGGCCGCGGCTTGGTGCCTGAAATAGGCCGTGAAGTAAAAAGTTTGCGGAACGCTGCTCTGGTGGACTATTCATAGTTATGCATGTACTTTAGTATGAGCAATGTCTTTCCAGACCATTAATATCTACCATGTACCAAATTATACTCCTTGCTGCAGAGGAGGCTAATATAAATTGTCTTGCCCATGGACACAGTCTATGTGACCAGCATGGATCTTGGACTTTCATTATTTGTTTTATAACACACATAAAATACTGTAGATCCTTGTAATTTGTATACACCTATTATGCAAAAAAGAGTCTACCTTTTGTCTAAATGGAAAAGTCCATCTTCTTTCAACCAATGAAAACAATGTATTAGGTGGCAGTATGCAATGGACGAAATGAATGGAACGAAAATACATTGAACTAAATTTTCACAAAGAGTAATGCAAATAAAAAAATATGCAATCGTTTTGCCACAAATGGTGTAAAAATTCCCAATGTCACACGATACGAAATCCCCCAATCAAATGGCAAGGATGTATTTAAGTGTGTTATGATTACCTTTTGTTGAACACTTCAAATGTCAACTGAACACTATCAGCAGCTGCACACATCCCAAAGTTCAGTTCTTGTGGCAATGACAAGTCATGCTTTGGTAGGACAGCAGACAGAGGAACTTCAAATATACCTTCCTGTAATATAATAAAAGTATACATTGTCAAGCTTACAATTTGTATATTTATGCCATGATTTTGTCTTCTTTGAATGGTCAAAAGGTTACTCAAGAGTGATGTACTTTGGGTGAGATTTAGCATTAGCCAATCAGGACAGCTGTTAATAATCTGCTGAGTAAGTCTATCCCCTCTTATGTCAGCCCCACTATTTTTCTTCATCCAGGTAAGTATTCAAAATATAGATCATATTCAGACCGTATTTCCGATGCACTAATGCCTTTGGAACCATGCGACTAAACACACAACACACGAGCACGGAAAAAATTATTTATTAAGCAAAATAATATACAAAATACAGTATAATAACAACACAACTGTTAATTACATTATTCGTTATTCAATATGTCAAAAGGGGCTACAATGACAGGCCGTTTAGCACTTTATGTAGTCTCTTGACCGTATTCCGGTCACTTGTGTGTTTTCTTTTTTCAGATTTTTGTAGATGTTTAAGACTGGCCAATAAATGTGACTTGACGCCAGCGTCCCTATGTTACATATTGATTCAATTTTCTTATCCGTTTGGTGTGCTTTCCAATCCGAAAATTTGGATTCAGTGTAAATGCACTTTAAGCATATTAGAAAGAGCTATACATTTTAGTTAATTTATTTTGCATTTAAAATCATTGGCAGGCCTGACTGTAATCAAATGTGCTCCATAGACTTTATACCCCTGTGAAACATCTTTGTCGGCTTGATTACAAAAAAATCTGTACTTACTGATGTCTTAAATTCAATTTTATCATCATATGGTATCTTGTCCAGTGGTCTAAATGTAACCGGCAGACTAAAACTTGTTCCAGCACTAAGAACAATCGTCTCAGGGTAGAGGGTGGTAAAGAAACGTGAATTAGGAATACTGGGAAGAGAGAGAATTGCAAAATAAAAAATCTGAAGCATCTGATGTAGCAAAAATCACATTTTGTCTTTTTAAAATCATATCTATAGAGGGAGGGAGACCCTCTCCAGCGTAACAAGTCTTCTCGGATAAGGACTATAATCCATAGACCCAGTGTATACAATGGCTCGTGTGCACTATGAAGAACCCAGTACATCCTTCGAGACGAGTAGGGGGATGCCCTGGTGTACTGGAACAGACAGCCCCTGTGGTGGACGATGAGAGTTGCTGGTACTAGGTTATCTGGTAGCACAGACACGAAGGGACCCTTAGGGGCGAAGAAAGTCATTGATCGAGTTCATAGTCCACATATCAAGCGCCATGAGCATCTTATATTAGATGGATATGGTGCTATATAAAACTACACTACTATTATTATTCCTAGTCTAGAAGGTCGGCCGACAATCAGGGGCCCTCTTAATGCAATAAAATAACATGATGCTTAAAGTCTCATTACGAGGTTTAGGCCTAGGGAGTGGAAATGTGTTTTATGAGAAAAAAAATCCTGTCACAGGATTTGAACCCAGGACCCTGAGATTTAAAGGCAAGCATTTTTACCAACATGCTACATCGCAACTTCAAATTTGGTTACCTTAACAACGCCCCCTGAAACTGTTGTGCCCACATCCCCCTCCCCCCTGAACAGAGCTATAAATAATTTTTAAAAAACATAAATTGTAGTCACCTGTACTTTATCTTCTGAGTTTTTACAAGCACATTTTTCAGCACAATACGTTTTGTATATTCGCCACCTGGTTCCCAGCCTTTCCACGCCAAATTGCTTACTACTTCAATTCCATATTTGCTGGTTTTCTTGTTTTGCTGATTCTTCTTGGCGATGCTTAGCGCAAGAGATGGCATGCTGATAGATACTGTGTAAAAAAAAAAAAAAGAAGAATATAGTGTAATATGACGGCGATAGGCCTACTGTAGACAGACCATCGCAAAAGGTTGGGGGTACGAGAGGTGCGGATGCACCACCACCATGGCAGCAAATTAGTTTCACTATGCGAGTTAAAATACTAAAAATGACATTAAGTTTTCATTGGAAAAGCGGTTTAGTTCTGCATAGAGAACAACGATAGAGAATTTGGTTCGGGCGAACCCCCCTTTTCTAGCAAACCCCCCGTTTTCTAGCGAACCCCCTCGAATTTTTGAATGAGTCCCACTTGGAAAGAATGTCTGTTATTAACTTACCTAGCATTAAATCAAAATTTAGCACCTAATTCATTATTTGGTCACCTGTTTTTAAACTGTAGCCTGCGATATAAGCCTAAATTCATAGAATAACTCAGCTTTAGAAGTTCGGAGATTTAAATTGAACGCAACTAATGCAAACCATGACTTTACGATGGCACACATAAGAATGGCAAACATTGATAAAAACCCAGCTGCCGTCTCAACTTTCCCTGGCCTTTGGCTGAGTGTTTAAGAAATGTACCAACCGTGAACGAAACTGGTCGCCGTCTACCTAGCGTAAATGGTGCCACCAAACGCAGCTAAAGTTTTTGTGACTTAATCCACCAAATGCAGATAAAGATTTGCGACTTAATCACCTGATTGTGGATTGTGTGGTTAGTAAATTCCATAGCCATACTGTCCATAGCGCACACTAAACTATATGCTGTTGGAGCATTTTGGGGAAATTGACTCTCATTTTTTCTATCCCAAACAAAATATTATTAATAAACCAACATGGTCCATCTCAGTCATCATAGCCAGTCACAAAATTAGGCTAGGAAGTTTGTTTTCAACAGCAGACACACACTACAGAACGGAGTGCGTCAAAACGAGTGTTTGTTAATTTTTAGTGATAAAGAATCACGAATCGTCCTAGAATAACTGACTTTTTTTCGTTGCAAAGAAGAAGGGTTATTGATTTCAATATCAATTAGCCTAGCTAGATGTTGACTAGCTAGGTTCGTTGCTCATTCATTTAGAGACAGAATTATATCCCAACGACAACAAACCAGTGTAGGCTTAAGTACGTACTAGAGGTACTAGGCCTAGGCTTTTGTTGTAAAAGTTGAAGTGCATGTACAAAATGCGCCATAGGCCTATATTAAAAAAGAACAACATTTTGTTAATTATTATTATTATTGGTTGGCAGGCAGGCCAGCTTTACCGTTGAAAGTCCTAGAATTCGACGATGACGTCAGTGCATGTTTACAAACGCCATTGATTAGATTGAAAATAGACCCGCTGAATTTCATTTTTTTTTATGAAAGATAGAATTTATCGAACATTTATCTATATAAAAACAAGATTAATATTGTAGAAATTGTATTTCTAAAGATGCATAAATTCATATTTCATTTCGCAGACAATAAATATTCAGGAAGATATAATAAAAACGATTATTAATACTAAAATGTGCATCAAATCTCAGCTATTATTAATCAGATATGTAGCCTATTATGTTTAAAGTCTTAAAATAATAATTTCGAATTAGGCCTAAGTATATAACAAATAATTGTATTAAAGTTTAGGTTCTCATGATGTCAGATAACGTATTGAATATGATGCTAAATTTTGGGCTCTGAGTTAATTTAACGATGGCCCTGTCAGTAGTAATGACAATATTTGTGCTTTTTTTAGCCATGTAGTAAAATACAGTACTATTATTTTCAGTGAACAAAATGAGAGTCAGGAAGATGTAGTAGAAGAAGAATAGGAAGAGGAAGAGGAGGAAGAAGAACTTGAACATGTTGAGTATATTGATATTGATTATGCGATGAGGGGTTTTTTTTTATATCTTTTGGTGTTATTTAAACATGCCAATTCTCAGAAAATATTTTCTAATTTTATTATATTACCACCTTTTTATTACATAGATCTTTTTCAAAACATAACTGCTTTTAAAATATCATATAGACCCATTAAACACAAAAACTGCTCTGGTTCTGGGGGCTTCACCCCCGACCCCACCGTGGCCCTTAGGCAGGCCCTTGGACCCCACGCCCAGAGAACCCCCCTTGAAATGACCTGCCTAAGGGCCTGGGTTTTGAGGGAATAATTAATGGCTTCGCTATTAATTACCAAGACAATAACCAAGATGGTGTAGTGACAGGAGCCTCTAATGATCCTGAATTTTAGACACTCTTGAGAGATTATCTCAAATAATTTGGCAACAAATTTCAGATCAGCATGAAGACAACACTGTAAGGAACATGTACCAACCCAGTTTTTACTATATCAAGGTATATTTTGGGAGATTTTAATTGATTTTTACTAGGCCTACACCAAGCTTTTCATAGGATGGCTGAATGACTACAGCACAGGGAAACAAGCTGACTGTATAATTGTCTTAAACTGTTTTTATGCTATGCTTATTTGCATATGGGCTACAATACAAAGCTATTGAGATTATACCAAGGAATACAGGCTAACTCGTACACATGCCAACTCGTACACACAACTTGTACACAAATTTTGGCGAACTTGTACACACAATTTTGGCAAGCCCGTACACACCATTGGCAAGCTCGTACACACAGTTTGCTAGCCCGTACACAAGTTTGCTAGCCCGTACACACAGTTTGCTAGCCCGTACACAAGTTTGCTAGCCTGTACACGAGTTTGCTAGCCCGTACACACAGTTTGCTAGCCCGTACACAAGTTTGCTAGCCTGTACACAAGTTTGCTAGCCTGTACACACAGTTTGCTAGCCCGTACACAAGTTTTGTGTAAGATTTACTTTGTATTTTAAACTTTATTCAAATTGTATTATATTTTGATAATAGTAATACTCATCTCTATTATTAAAACCTATGATTAGAACTTGTGTACATAAATGGTAAATAGATTTAGAAATTTATGATCTTCGGCGGCACGGGACGTCGAAACTGATCACCTTTTCATTGAGAGGGCGCTATAATAACTGTTAGTACGTTTTTATTTGAGGTAATGTTTCAGACTCAGTTTTAGACTTAGTATTGATTTTTGTTCCTTTTGAGATACAAAATACTCCCATAATACTTTCTGTATTTTTTCAGTAGCAGTGTAATGATTATTACGGTAGTTTTTTACGATTACCGTGGGAACCTGTTTGGTTGTAGGAAATCTTGTTTTCCAATTTTTTTGTACAGGCCTAGTTACCAGGCAACAGTGCAGGTAATAGGCCTCGTGCATTTTTCCAGCTTCTAAAAAGAAGCCAGAAACGGCCATTTGTATGTATTTATATAAAACTATATTTTCATTTATTAGTTTTTTTTTATTATATTATAAATTATATCCTAGAGCCGCCACTGGTTCTTTGACGACCTTATTGATTCAGCTAGTTTGATCTCATCTGATAAAAAAAAATTGACTATCAAATAATGTATTTAGGTACGAGTTCACCAAAAGTCATGTGTACAAGATCACCAATCGTGTGTAAGAGTTCACCTAATTCTGTGTACGAGTTGACCAAAGAGTGTACGAGTTAGCCGACACCCATACCAAGCCAAGTTGGAAAATGGCACATCAAAGCAGTCCTGTAAATGTTTTTGACAGATCTTATGATAGTTTTTATGGGTTTACAAAGGATGAAATAGAGGAAACTACTAGAAATATGATCTACTAATACAGTATCTAAAAAAAAAAAAAAATCTAAAAATTTTGAATACTCCAAGGAAAACCTGTCCAAGAAATCACCAAAGATGAAGAATGCAGAAATTCCTCATTGGAAGACAGGATCACCAAACTTGAATTGATCATCAAGGACCTTGTCTCAAAATTGCCATCAAATGCCAAATCATTTTAACCTCAGATCAATCTAACTTAAGAAAGTTTTCAGGAATCCACACCATTGAGAAATGTAGCAACAGCTGTCAAACCTTCCATCGACACATAGTAAAATCTATCCTAATTCTGCTCCAGTTATTATTATGTTCCAGCTATGGAAACACGTAATCGCTACATCGCCTTAAATGTTGAAGATGTTAGTGAAAGCCCTGAAAAAGATACAGAATACCTCCTGATAATAAAAGAACTGTTAAAGGAAAGTCTTGACTTACAGTAAAGAAATCCTTCTGACTGGAGACTCGATGCTGAAACATTAAAACAAGGGGTCTGCTCAACACATCAATCAAGACAATACGTGGAGCCACAGTAAAACAAGTATCTTCTGCTCTAAAAGACATCGATCTAACCAATGTGAAGAATGTTGTAATCCATGCAGGGACCAATGATTGTAGTTGTCGTAATTATAACAATTCTCTACTGAAAGATTACCAGGAACTTTCAACTAATTTACAATCACAAACAAAAGGCTACTTTTCTGGAGCCTGTCCACAACTAGACGACCCTCACCTCGATGTATGTGTACTGGAAACCAACGATATGCTGAAAAACGAATTCCAAGAACAGTACATTGATAATTTCACAGCATTTAAAACCAGCAATGGCATTGACACCTCAAAATTCACACGCCATGGTCTTCATATAAATAAGCATGGAACTTCTGGCCTGATCAAGAGTATAAACTCAGATCCAAATCCTATAAGTCATAAGAAACGAGAGTAGCTATTCCTCAACTGTATCGAATTGTCAATTCTGTGGAGAAAGCGGTCATGTACGTTGTGTTGGTCATCATGGCAAACCTGTTCAGTGTTGGACTTGCCATCAAATAGGACACAAATCGAAGTACCTGTACTGCAATGCACCAAGCCAGTAATTTTTCCGGCAAAGAAGACAAAGCCGATACCATTGATGCAGATGAATCGTTTCATTTACAGCTCTTTTCTGATTTAACACATATGAGAATAAGAATGTAAATCAAGGAACTTTCCATGAAAACTGTTAAATTTTTAATTAAAGAATATTAGTGTAATTGGTTTAAATATTGTAAGTCTTACAGATAGGTTTGAGTTAATTTCCTTATTGTAAATAATAGCATTGATATAATATGTTTAAATGAAACTCGTCTTAGTAATTTCATTAAACATGAAGAAATTTATATTAGGGGTTATGACATTCTTCCTAAAGATTGAAACCGTGATGGAGGTGGTGTGGCTGTATATATAAATCAACATGGTGGTTTTACCGGTTTAGTTATAAATTCGCTCTGACCTTATGAAGCCTGAGTTTAAAATGATTTCCATTGAAATATCTAAAGCCAATATGAAACCAAACTATTATTCTTGGTACTGCCCTCCTGGATAAGAAATGCTGTTATTTAAATTACAGTACTTGAAGAAGTGCTTCAAAATATTAAAAGTTCTGATACTAACAGTAACATTATCATTATTGGTGAATGTTAATTGTGATGAACTTTCTGCAAATCCAAGCTGTTTTACATGAATAATTTAAAAGAAATCTCAACTAAACTACTATCTTAAACAAGTTATTACAGATCCAACTAGGACCACAAATTCTACGTCGACCCTTATTGACCATACTGTATCTATGTATCTTGTCCAGAAAAAGTTGGTGATTCTGGAGTCTTATACACAGGTCTTAGTGATCATGATGTTATTTACTCAATTATAGGTAAAGAATAAAAGCAACCTTCAAACCACTGGATTAAAAATTGTAGAAATTATATAACAAACTAAATGAAATCCAATTCAAACTACACCTGATGAATGTAAACTGGTACGAAATCACAAAAGATAATAACATTGATGATGCACTTCAGAATTTTGAGAATAAATTTCTTTATGTTGCTAACAGACATGTCCCTATAAAGCAAAAATGCTTGAGAAATAAAAATAGTCCATGGTTGAGTGATGAATTGATTAAACTCATGAGGAAATGAGATGCATTAAAAAGTAAGGCCGCCAAAGAAAATTTTCCTTATCTTTGGGATGAGTATCGTGCCATGAAAAATAAATGCAATGCCAAAAATAGTTCCTAGCCTAGGAGGAGGTGGTCTAGGCCTAGCCTAATGAACTCCTTGATTGATCTTGATTTATTTATTTGACAAAGAATGAACAACCTCGGAATAATGGTACAATATGAATTTTGTCAGGCTCTTAATTAATAATATATGGGCTAGCCTATGCCTATGCCAGGGGAGGCTTAGCTACAACCCTGGTATACCTACCTCAGGGGCCCAGCTAAAGCCTCTGTCTCTTTCAGAGACAGAGCGTTCTAGGCCTAGCCTAGGCTAAGTCTCGCGAAAGAAACCGTTTGCGTTTGTTTTGCAGACTGGCCTAGCTAGCCTAGGCCTTTCTTTACATCATGGTTAGGCCTAGGGCCTATACTCTAGTTTAATATTATGTGGTAATAAATAGATGGGATACCTTATTAACTCACTTTGTAAATCTATACAATTTACGGTGAGCTTATTAAAGAAGGCCAATCTAAGAGGTGGTTTTGTGACCTGCTTCTCGCCGAAGACACACAGTACTCAACGACATAT